ACTGTATCTCATTCAACCACACTAAAAAAAAGTTCTTCCAACTCTTCCACCACTTGTGTCCTCTCTTTGGTCAACATCGTCACTCCTTCTATATCAGCACCTTTGATGACATTTTTATTCTTCAAAAGAGTCAAGATTGTCAAATTTACCATCTTGTACTCTGAGGCCAGATCAGTCATAGAAATACCATGCTTATGCTTTTCTATAATCTCCTTCTTCAATTCAGTGGTTATTTTCTTCAAAACCTTCTTACCATTCTTGCTCCGCACTTTGTTACCTTCATTATTGCTCTCCACATTTTTGTCATGTTCATTAACATTCTTGTCCCCTTCATAACTGCTCTGCACTTTTTTACCATCACGCTTGCTCTGCAGTCTTTCTTTGAAGCCATGCTGGATTTAATAATACCAAATGGTACTGTGTGGGCTAAAATGCACACAGAAAAGCTGCACAGCAAGTATACACAGATCTAAAACTGCAATCTCAATTAGAGTAAGCTGTTACCATGTGTCATAGCAGGGAAGATGGCCGCTTTTATGTTCATATAGGGAAGATGCCTGTGGTTGTGTTTGTCAGAAATGCTGAGAACCAAAGCAAAATTTTGCTGAATGCTTTTGTTCATGAATCGAATTATTCATAAAAAAGTACTTATGAACTGAGATTTTACTGTAACACAATGATTGTCACCTGTGGAATACTTTTTTCTAATTCCTAAATGGGTCCAATTAATTTCCTCTACTACAATGCAAGATTTGTTGGGATATAATCGATTCTTTTCCTAATTGTATTTCTACTCATATGGAAATTACTACTGTAAAAACATTGTGCAGAAATTATTATAAGAATAGCATTCAAGTTTTCTAAGCAGTTATTAAATGTCAGGTACAATGGGAAACACTTTCTATGTATTTAATCCAAACAATCTATAATTTGTTTATAGCACCATCTCTATTTTATAGATGAAATAAACCAAGTGTTAGAGGGATTTAAGAACTTGTCCTATATCCTATTCACTATTTTATTCCCAGCACAAAGCCTCATACAGGAGCATTCAATAAATATTTCCTAGAGAATTACAAATTCAACCACAGCCTGAGCAAATTTATGACTTTGAACCCATTTCAAAAACAATAAATCAATAAATAAAATGCTCAGGATGTAGCTCAGTGTGAAGCCATGAAGGTCCTGGGTTCAATTCCCAATACTACAATCAATCAATATTTACTGAATGAGTGAATGAATAAATGATTTCAAAGAAGTCTTAACAACTGTCCAGGTAAGCAGACAGTGTTATTCTCAGTATACACACAAAATACATGAAATATACAAAAGAAAATGCATAATGACTACAATAATCACAGTCTATTACAGAAAAATGCATAATAAATATAAGCTTGAAAATTTATTTCTTATTGTGGAATTTTGGTCTATGTGGTATAGTAGTTGAATTAAAAATTCCCTCAGAGTATCTGCCCTGGAGTCAAAACACCTGACTTTTGCTTTCAATCCCTGTGCTTCCACTACTGACACAGACCTTAAGTAAGGTTTTATGAATCTATATACCTAAGTTTCCTCACCTATACAATGGAAATGAAAACAGAACCTACACTTCCTGGGCTTGCTCTGAAGATTCAGAAGAGGCCACAATATCATGATGAGGTCCAAACAAAGGGAGCCCAATTATCTGAAAATTACTTAAGCAAGATGCACCTCTTTAGTTAGTGGCTCTAAATTACATGTATTTATCCCTGGTTCCAAATCTATTCTAATCCTTCTTTAAGTTTGGCACTACTTGGCAATCTTTGGGTTGATGAGGATTGATTCAGGATCCTGTCATTCGCTAGGCTAGAAGAATGTCCTAAACAATAAAAAGTAGGTCCTAGAAATCTCCAATATCATCAGTACCTATTTCCTTAGAAGGGCATGGGTCAAGCCTGCATCTATCTCTCTACTTCTGGTGTCAGGTTTGCTCCCTAAGAAAAAGCTGACCATTTATTTCCTGCCTACTTTGCTCTCCTCCCCACTATAACCTTAAAAGGTAAACATTTAAACTAGCTACACTAGGTAGTACAGTTCTGAGTCAATTGCCAAATGTGTAATATCCTACTTGGCACAAACGCAAAACCCTTTTCTTTACCAATAAAATACCTAAAAGAGCTTTATACAAGTATACAATAAGCTGTAAGTGAAAATTACCTAGTAGTATTAGCCCAGTGTGATTCAACTGTCCTTACCTCAATGCCTCATCACCCATCACATTATCTATTTTCAAGATCTAAGCTATTTTAACCACATTTACAATTTTCCAAAATGTGGTAGAAATCATTAAAACTTTACAAAAGGAATTATTAAGTTCCTTCAATTCACAAGTAAGACATTTAAAACATCCATAATTTAAATAAATGAGCATAGTGTACAGAAGAAAAGTAAGTGGTAAGCTTATTTCTCAAGTTCCAAAGAAAACTATTAAATACAGCAAGAAAGTGGTGAAAAGAGAGGTTATAACTGACATATTATGAAGTGGAAAGATTTCCAATGCCAAGCAAATAGCATGTCTGTGCTCTGTTCACAATGTTCTGTCCGCAATCCTTAATTTCATGGCTAATTACTAGATCTTTTTCACAACTTCAAATATTCAAAATAATTTAACATGCACAAAAGCATAACAATTAGCACATGCCACAATACATTGCTCAATTTGCTTAAATATCTTGAATGTGGAAATTAAAATCTTGATTAAAAAATTTCCTTTGAACTGTCTTTTTTAATATAGTTGTATGCGTTTGCTCTAAATGTTATCACAGAAAACAGTAAACAACTTTGGACAAATGAAATCAATGACTGTTCTATAGCCTAATATTATATAGCAATGTCTCACATACTATTGAGTTCTTTTGTTTCCTTATACCAAGAATGATTTAAAAGTCCATGAAATTGGTTTAGCATCCTGAGTTTTATTTTTCTGGAATAGCTACAAGTAGTTTTTTCAGTCTGTAAAAACTGTACTTGCCAGGCGTGGTGGCACATGCCTGTTACCCCAGCACTCGGGAGGCTGAGGCAGGAGGATCACTGTGTGTTCGAGACCAGCCTGGGCTACATAGTGAGTTCTAGGTCAGTCTCAACTACATAGTGAGACCCTGTCTCAAAAAACAAACAAACAAAAAAAAAACTGCGTTTAATTCCAAAAGCCTAAGAACAAAAAATACATGTGCAGCTTTTGTTTTAATTTTCAAGTAACAGCAATCTAATAAAATAGAACAATTACTTCTAGGCAATAACAATCCATCATATAATTAGGAAAAAAAGAACAAGTAAATATAAAATATCACTCTATGAGATCCTTGTGATTATAAAAAAACAGACTACATAAGAATATAAATAAAGTACAAGCAAAACTCTTCTTTGGGCCCATCAGCATTATATTTATCAGCTTCATCTCTGCTTTCTAAAATTATCAAATAACTCGATAAGTCATGACATAAGTTTTTCTATACAAGAATTCATTTATATTTGATTTGATGAAGACAGTGAGAGAAGAAGGTATACAATACAGGCAAGTGCTCCTTGAAGAGTTAAAAATGCTGAAGACTACTACAGGAAATGGTACCTAGAAATTAAATCATCAATATCTCTAATATGCTTGCAAATTCCTATTGAGGCAAACTGCTTACACAAATGGTATTTTTACAAAGTCCCTTTTCTGGCTTCTCACACTATTTTATTTCAGAAGCATTTTATAAGAACTCTGCTACAAATTCTATTCTCATCTAGAGTTCACATTTAACTGTATTCCACTTTGTTCCTTTTTAGGCTCCAAAACAAGGTGGCTGTGATGTTACCTAAGCATGAGAGGTCATGCTACTTCAGCAAATTTTCCTAGCTTCTTTTGCTTTTCTATAGTTAGATATACTGAACTCGAACTATATGTGTCCTTTCTGCCATCTCAAACTTAGAAGTAATAAGGGGCTTCAAATACAAAACAAAAAACTGGTTTATGTATTAAATATCAAATGGGTAGAACGTGACAAACAGGGCAGTGGTCCTAAGGATGGTTTTCTAATGACAATTTATACTCTCATCGGATGAGGAAGCACTATGCAGAAAGGAACATTAAGAGCAATGCTACTTACCACATTTAATACAGGGAGTTACTAATTGTTTCAGCTTCTCTGTAATTACTATCAGCAAAAATTTTATAATCAATTTAAACATCAAGATGTACAAAGAGCACAAAATATATGTATATTACATAGTACTAGAGGTACTACATACTAAAGGACCTCTTAAAACATTCATAGAGCAGAAAAGCTGTATACTTGTTGTACAGAACATATACATTTGAAATAACAGATGAACCTCTTTATTGCCTGAAATTCAGGAATAAAAACTATTCCAGGCTGAGTATTCCTAACCCAAAAATCTGAAATGCTAAAAAATTCCTAATTTTTTTATTGCATTGTCAGAAAAGTCTAAACAAATATTCCAAACTGAACAACTCTGAAAGATGAAACATTTTCTGGTTCCAAGCATTTGGGATAAAGGATATTCAACCTCTACTCATTTATATTCCAATTACATTTAATTAGACTATCTAATTACATTTTAGGAAACATAGTTTATTGTAGAAAATTCTATAAACTATGTAACTTTTTAAAAATGATTGGTTTTTAACGTATTAAATACCCCTAATCTCACTCTGTTTACAACGTTAATTATATGCTTACAACAACCTTAATTTTAGTAGGCCTTATTGAGAAGTTATCTAGACAATAAACTATAAAAATTAAATGTTCGACATGAATAACAATTTTTTTTCCATTTGTATAGGAAGATATAAGGTAATCAGATGAAATAAGTTACTGGATGTGAGAAAAAAATTACACTGATTACAAAATGTTTTATTTGGGGAAAATATACTAATAGATAAAATTTGTATAAAGAAATGCTATTTACTCTATAACTGCTAATACTTAATAGCAATTGTGTTAACTACTTCTTACCTGCCTCTTTCAACTGCCAAGGCATCAAGTTCATCAAAGAAGATAATGGAAGGAGCCACTGCTCTAGCTTTTCGGAAGATCTGGTGGAAAGAGAACTACATTAGCCAAAGAGAAGAAAATTCTTTAGTTGATTTCCATTTGAAAACTGCTTTTAGAACAAAATCTGTTATGTACAAATCAGGCAATCACTTTGTGTATACCTTGTAATAAATGACTAAGATTTCACCGGAAAGGAAAAACTGATCTCTTCAGGAATATGGAGACAAGTCTACCAATACATATTCACATAGGTACTATATTGGGGGCCATGTAGTTAAGCAATTAAGACATTCTCAGTTAAAATTTCAGCTCAACTACTGAGTAGCTGTGTGACTTTCAGCAAGTACTGTTACTTTTCTAAACTTCAATTTCCACATCTATGAAATAAAAATAATAATAAATGCTTACTGCAGATTTAAGAACTGAATAATAAAAAGAACATAAAGCATTTGGCACAATACCTAAAAAACTTATAAGAGTTCAATGAATAATAGATATTATTAATTGGGACACAGACTCAGAAGAAAAAAAACGTGTCAAATCAGCCACAGATTCACACGTAAAATATTCATAAATCTAAAAATCACATACCTTGTTTTTTTTTTAAGACTATATAGAAAAATTATAGTTGATATAAAGCCAGGGAACAATGGGCACATCTTAGAAGAATATGGACTGGCTGGAGCAGAAGCCAACCAAACTAGCAAAATCAGAGGCTGACTAGTAGCCACGGAAGTGATATATAGAAATAAGCTAGAAAAAAGGAAGTATGGGCAACAAGAAATCCATACGTTTGTTACCTTGGCCCCGATTTTATGGTTATGTGTAGTATGACTATAAAAATAGAAAATTCAAGCCATTACTATGAAAAATATTGCCTTTATTATGTGGTCACTATCAATTAATGTTTTATACAACTACCGTCATCTACTAGAGGGGGAAAAAGTAATTTGAAATTTTTTTCATTACAAACTTTTCCTGTTTAGTACTCTAGAATTTCACAAATGAAGACATCTATTCCCTGATGTTTGTGTGTTCTTGTCTTTAAGAAGTTTTGGAAGCATACAGGGTCCTTGTATGAAGCAGGTCAGTCTGCTCAGAAGTCAAGACGTGGTGAAATTATTGTTTCCAGTTCCTTGACTTTGTACAAATTTACCAGGTATATAGCTTCCTTGATACAAAGGAGTGGCATATCAACCAGGCACAGAATTAAAAAGTCTGATTTAAAATACAAGAGACAGAAGGAAGAGGCATTGTTTGAATCACCAGATAGCGGTAACATAAGTAAATACAGTACAGTGAAATTTTCATATACTAAGCTTTTTCAGTTTAAAGGGCTATTTTAAAGTATTTTAAATCCTATTTTGAGATCATATGCGTTACTTTATAAACACAGATATGTCCATCCTTGTTAAAAATACCTTTACTTGGTAAATATAAAGGGTAGTAATATTATGATGTCTAAAAATAAACACAAAGTTTTACCGACTATCAAAAATTTCATTTTTCAAATAGTAATACTTGCCTGAAGAAAAACATATGGCACTAGAATCTGGATTTGGTGATCTCAAAGTATGTTATTTAAAATAATATAGAAGACAGAGAAGAGAAGTGTGATTCTTCTCTACAGAGTGTTACTTCAGGTATAATCTCCTTACCTCTCTAACTGCTCTTTCAGATTCACCAACATATTTATTCATCAGTTCAGGCCCCTGCAGAAAAAGAAAACAACTGTTCAGAGTATTCATATGTGAAACAATGCATATATCTTTTAATGGAGAAACAATTTACAAAAAAGAAAACAAACAAATCTGCTATTAATTAAATTAGTTCTTTCAGCATGCTTATTTTTTGTTATTTATGCCTTAAAAATCTAAAGCTATTTTATGTTCCAAAAATGACGTATCAATACAAAGGAAAGGCTGTGACTAAACACACTAATTTTGCATGTTCTTCATCATCTGCTCAGTCATCCATACATATTTTAGTATTTTTACAATATGTCAAATATGGTGCTAGACACAGAAGATAGAACACCTTAATCTGGAAGGGAGGGAGGTAAACTACAGATTCCCAACCTAACCACTGGCTGGTTCTAGGTGGGTCTACTTAAATTTGTATCTAAATTCACTATATCAACAGTTCAATACGGCAAGAAGCAAGAGCTCAGGTTTCTTATGATTGAGAAGACCTGGAAAAGGAAACGGAATGGGAAACACATAATCTATGACACTACTTTACAATCTTTGAATGTTTCCAATGTAAATGTTGCACTTGCAGGACTTGGCTATGCACACATTGACTATATGGTTCTGCAGGGTATAAAATAATGCTCTTTCCAACTATTATCCAAGCCAGGACCTACAGAACAACATCTCAAAACCACATGTATCATTAACCCTCAGGATCATATTGTTATAATTAGCTTTGCGAAAAACCTTCAAATTGTCTAGCTTCTATTCACTGCTTGTCTGCATTACCCTTCAGTTATCTGCAACTTACCACTCCATCAAGATGATAGGATTCCTACTCCTTTCTTGTGCCCATGTATTTTAGGAGTACCAGGAATGGAAGGCACAAAACACTCTAATAACATAATTCTATCAATTTTTACTAATCAGCTTTCACCAAGGGAATCCCTATAAAGGTAGCTGGTTCTCCAAGTGATAGGCTTGCATATCAGTGATTCAAAGATGCATTTTTTTGACGTTTAATATTTCTGAATTTTTTTTCCTTCTCAAGTACCTAAGCTATCAGATATATGAGAAGAGGTACTTTCTTTTTTACTGTATACCTTTCTGTTTTCTCAGGAAATATAGTCATCTCTATAAGTCATAAGATATTTTAAAAAAATTAACACTGTCCTTTGAACCACAACAATTCCTTCAGAGATAGATGCCAGATGTCCTTCTTGGCTAAGCATACTCACTTTCATCCCAACATTTGGTTATTTTCACATCCTTCTTTACACAATGCCAAATTTAATGGACATGAATGTATATGTGAGTCTTCTCTGTCTTTCCCTTCCTCCCCTGTTCCCCTTCTTCTCAAACAAGCAGGCACATATATACTTTACTCTGAATAAGATTCAAATTCTACTCCAGGAAAGTCATGGACCCAGATAATTCAGGGAATATACTACACATTTGTTCAAGTATTTCCCAAGTAATTAATAGCAATTTTTACAAATGTGACTGATTCAAACACATAGGCAAATGGTAACACAATGTCAATTAGTTACACACATTGGTATGAGCAATGCTTAGCTTAAGTTAAGACACCACACTACAAAGAAAACTGGCATACACTATGACAAGTTCTATGATAAAAGCATGTCCAGGTGCCATTTAAACATAGAGAACAAACTCCTTAGAGTCAAGGATGTTCCTAAAGAAAGTAACATTTCAAATGAATCTTCAGTTGATTTATGCCACATCCTCACAAACAGGAAATACAATAAGGTTCAGGAAGAAATCAAAAAGATTTCTGACCAACCAAAACAGATGTCACTATAAGCATATCAACTGCAGAAGAGTTCATAAGGTCTTTATTCAAAGTTCACTGACTTTCAAATTATCCATGACTAACACAGAAGTAAAACTGATAAAAGCATTTAATACAGGTGAAGCACCAGAAACAGGGAGATTGCAGAAATCAGTAAGGTTCAGGAGAACAGACGTCAAAAATGAGTTCATATTTACCTTGCAAGCAACAGGAAGGTTTTAAGGGAGTGAACAGATTATACATATACTGCTGAAAGATGATACTGGCCACAATGTAAAGGATGATTTGGAGAAACCTGTAAGGCCAGAGACCAGTAATGAAATGTTTAAAATAGTGAAAGTAAGAAATGGGGAGGGACAGTATAAAGACAAAACAGTGCAAGTAAAATAAGAAGACAGCCACAAAACTATTAAAAAGACAAAATCAGGCTGGGGATTTAGCTCAGTGGCACCACACCTTCCTTAAAAGCACAAGGTCCTGAGTTCGATTCCGTCTCAAAAGAAAAAAATCTATTTATTGTAGACAGTAGGATATAAAAATGAGAAAGAATATAATTCGAATTTGACAATATTTCTGATGCTTACGATAATTAAATTCATCAAGAAAAGGATTTTTAACATATTTAATGTATCAGTTCTCAGAAATACACAGGTCATTAAAAATACTTCATTCCAGGAAGAGATCATCCTGGCCAACTAGGAATGACAAAAGAAAGGAGCCTCTGAACAGGGCAGAGCAGGTACCCTAGGCAGGGGCTAAATAAAAAACCTGATATAAGAGAACAAATGAAAAGAGAAACTCACTGGACCAAAATCCAGCATTAGGGAAGTTTATAAGGGGAAGCCACACCAGTCCTGGATCATGGCATATACCACACCCAAGGTCCAGCTATACAGGCCATCTTGGAAGATCGTGCTGAAGGGGAGAGCTGGCAGCCTGGCTGATGGAACAGGCAATCACTCTAACCTCTCCACCAAGAAGAGAATCACAGCTTGTGAGACGAGCATAAGCCAGGGCTTCAGAAAAACTGGTAGCTAGAGAGCAGTGTATTAGACAACACCACATACCAGCCCACACTCAGGGAACAATGGAACTTTGGGGAGAAAGCTTGACCAATCCAGAAATAATCAGTTACCTATTATTCCCACATACAACAGGAGCACTGCACTAGTGGGAATTTCAATGTTCTGCCCACACTAGCGAACAGGTGCCCACAGGGGAGTCTCCAGAATCCCCTTGCTGGGGACTGTAGAGAGCAGGGATACTTGGGACTGCGCCAAGTTCTCAAGTTAGAGTCAAGCTATCAGTGACTGAAAAAGGATCCTAAGTGGAGGGACAGAGGCTGCCACCCATGTCAGAGGGTTTTCAATACTGTTATAGGCAACCTGCTTGTGTAAGGAAAACATAGACACTACTGTGGGATTTGCACTGCATTTAGGGGAGCAGCAAGATGAGAGTTAACTATCGTGTCAACTCGAGTAAGAAACACCCAACTGATTGGCTTAGCATAGTTCTGGATTTGGTTCAATGGATCTACTGACAACGGAAGACCTGGTGAGAGTGGCACCAAACAGTAGGCTTGTAGCCCGAATGGAATAAAAAGGGTAAAGAAGACTCGTTTCTGTTTCTTCAGAGGAGCTCCAGTCTTCTCTTTCGTCTTAGAAGTCTGCCTCATGGCTTCCAGCTCAGACTCTTCAGCCTTCCATCATAGACCCTTCAGCTTCCCGATAATGAACTCGCATAGGATTCTACAGTGAGCTCCAGGCCTCTGACTTTTGACTGGATCCTTCACATATCCAGCACGCAGACAGCCTTTTTGTAGTCTTTCACACCCGACTATGCATGCAGGCAGACTTTGTAAGCCTATATATTAAATCTTAATTAAATTCTCTAGTGAACACTCACTGACTGATACAGGGAATAAGAAATCCCTAGTGGAAGCTGAGAGAGAACCTGATGACGGGCAAACTATACCCTATATGCCCCTCCCCAAATTAACGGAGGCGATGAGATTTTGGGACAAATCCTGCAATTAGCCACTGCTAGAGCACTGCTTATAACCAGGAGTTAGCCAAAGAAAAAAGTGGATCAGCAAGTCTCCTTGCTCACAGGCTGGCAATTAAGTAAACCATGGGGGAAGAAAAGGCACAGCCCTAATAACCTCACACACAATGGAACCCAGACAGCTATGTAAAAGGGACTATGACAAAACCTGATTTTAGGTTTTGCAACAGTGATTGGGATTTTTCTTCTCTCTCTCTCTCTCTCTCTCTCTCTCTCTCTGCTTTGCTTTTTATTGTTTTATTATATTTTTATTTTTTCTCTTTTTTTTATTCTTTTTCTCGTATTTCCTGTTGCTTCTCTTTTCTACTCTCTTCTTCTCTCTTTTATTCCCCAATCTTGCCTCTCCTCCTTTATACCTTTAACTTAAATAGCACTTAAATAGCACTGTCAAGGGCATGTCAGTGTAACCCTAACTAAAATTGGGCATAGAGGATGCAAATATTAACAACAAACATATTGGCAGCTTTTAACAATCTCAGATTCCTTCAATCCGCAATTCAACCTCCCTTCCTCTTCACCACCCCTCTCATTCCCATAAGTCTCTCCTTAACAGTGCCAATTTTCTCCAGCTATAAAAATAACTCCAATAGATTGAGACTGCCTGCTTCTTTCCTCACCTATTGACATTTGCCTTCTCTGCCTGTCTACTCATGGACTTACTACCCTCTTATTTTTTCTCTTTTGTTTTCCCTCCCACTCCCTCCACATCTGAATGTAACTGCCAATAGCAGCTATACTTTAGTCTACTGAGAAAGGATGAAACTGTCACAAGTTTTAATGTACATAACTGATATATGGTTAGCTCTGTTCACATTATAATTTGCAGGAATTTTCCCCTGACAACAATATCTGAGTCCACATACACACAAACAGAAGCATGAGAAAACAAGACAACAAAATGACACCAAAGACTCCCCACTCAGAAAAAGCAGATCCAAAGGGCACCCACGGGGAAAATAGTAGATACCAGATGCTGAATTGCTTCAAACGATCAAAGAGGAAACAAACTTGGAAAGTTAAAAAATGATATAACCAAATAGTGGACTTAATAAATTGATAAGTGAGCTTAAAGAAGAATCAAGTAAAAAAATTATAAGAGCTAAACAAAGTGATTCAAAACATGAATGGCAAATTTACCAACAAT